ATCCCCTTTTCGTCAACCAGATTTGCTGTAAGGTTTCGCCTTTCTGGATCCCTGGGCGTTTTGGGGCGGTTTGACCGGAAAAGTGTATCTGTGAGGCCCTGAGCGCTGGGTGGTGGCACCAAAAAGTAATGATTTTGTTGGCGCTCCCAAGAGGCTCGTTTTCGCGGAGGACTGCCCCTTGAAGCCAGCCAGGAGTTTTCTAATCTGGCGAGTTTTATGTGGCTTGCTTGGCTGCAGTCGCTCTTCTTTCGTGTTTGAGTGGATACCCGATCTGCCAGCGATCAGCGTGGCCAACTGGTGTACGAAAGATTTTCCGGACGGCTGGTTGTCGGGGTCCTGGGCGACGGTTTTGTCTACAAGCAGAGAGGCCGCTTTTGACGGAGTGGAGCTGGAGATTGGGTTCGCTTCTTTTCCCCACACATCTGACTCAGTCCAGTTTAGAGGCTGTGACTTTGTTGAGGAGTACACGGCTGCAGCTGTGTCCTCTGATACGGAGATAAGCTTTGATGGCTCCACGTAGTTTGGGCGCTGCTTGCATGTGGGGTTTGCCTCCTCCAGGGCGCCCCTGCCTTTGGTGGGCGAGAAGCCTGTGGTGGTCGAACAAAAACTGCTGTCCGGAGACACAGCTGGTTTTGTCGGCCTGCTTTCGGGGGCACAGGGGGATATTACCACAATCGGCTTGGTCATGTGTTTGGGGTCGGCTGAATTAATGCCAGGTGGAAGCCTGCTTTGTGCTTCCACCCCTGACCTGCTATGATCAAGCTTACGCGCGTCTAGAGGACGATCCTCAGATAAGCGCCTGATCATTGAGTTGGCCTTTTGAATGTTGCCAGTCCGTTCCAAGATCTCCTGTACGTCAGATGGGGAAGAAAGAGTAACTAGAGGTCCAAGAGTCCGCTTACTTCCCTTCTGGCGTAGCCATTCTGCGTGGAGCGATTTATCAGGCTTGGTGAAGCCATTGCTAAGTGTTGACTGTGCCAGCTTCCATGGCGTGGTTTTTCCGGAGGATGAACCCCAGATTATCAGTCTGTTTTTCCTTAGGCGCCTGTCCACTAGAGACACTGTGGCGGTTTTTATAGCCGCGTCAGGAAGTTGTATGACTTTCTTCGCGGCCATAGGGCCCGGTGTGGATATCGCAAGGTATTGGTTCAGCGAAGAATTTTCCTTGTCAACTTTCGTTCAGGTCGCTGCATTCTTATCGCCTGAGTCCTCCAGTGTCTTTGAAAGCCGCTCTAATATCGCGTCAAGTATCCCGATTAAAGGGGAACACTGACAGTGGCCTTTCTGAATCTGCACTGGGGATCGGGTACCGTTTTGGGGGGCTCTCTTCTTGGCCGCGGTATGCACTGCACCCTTAACGTAGAGGCCGCTGGCGCAGAAAACGGGTCAGGGGAGTTAGCTAGTCAGATTATCTGGTCGTCCTGTAAACCCGTGCATTTGAAGTGCCATCAGACCTTGCATGTTTGGCATTGCATACAGCGTTTGACGTTCGATGGGCAGCCATTTCGCACACACCTGTTGTGGCCTATCAATGGCTGTAGAGGGCAATCGGTATAAATTGATGTCATGTTTAGGACTAGATGTAATATATGGAGTGTGCGCAAAATATCAAGGGTTATCTCTCAAATGTTTTGTTAGAGTAATAAAATTCAACGATTACTCGTGTGTACTCTGTGAATAGATTGAACAACGAAATTCCCTTCTGGCGTAGCCATTCTGCGTGGAGCGATTTATCAGGCTTGGTGAAGCCATTGCTAAGTGTTGACTGTGCCAGCTTCCATGGCGTGGTTTTTCCGGAGGATGAACCCCAGATTATCAGTCTGTTTTTCCTTAGGCGCCTGTCCACTAGAGACACTGTGGCGGTTTTTATAGCCGCGTCAGGAAGTTGTATGACTTTCTTCGCGGCCATAGGGCCCGGTGTGGATATCGCAAGGTATTGGTTCAGCGAAGAATTTTCCTTGTCAACTTTCGTTCAGGTCGCTGCATTCTTATCGCCTGAGTCCTCCAGTGTCTTTGAAAGCCGCTCTAATATCGCGTCAAGTATCCCGATTAAAGGGGAACACTGACAGTGGCCTTTCTGAATCTGCACTGGGGATCGGGTACCGTTTTGGGGGGCTCTCTTCTTGGCCGCGGTATGCACTGCACCCTTAACGTAGAGGCCGCTGGCGCAGACAAACGGGTCAGGGGAGTTAGCTAGTCGGCTTATCTGGTCGTCCTGTAAACCCGTGCATTTGAAGTGCCATCAGACCTTGCATGTTTGGCATTGCATACAGCGTTTGACGTTCGATGGGCAGCCATTTCGTCAACATCTGCTGCGGTCCATCAATGGCTGCAGCAGGCAATCGGTGTGAATTGATGTCATGTTAAGGCTTAGCTGTAAAATAGGATGTGTGCGCAAAATATCAAGGGCTATCTCTCAAATGTTTTGTAAGAGTAATAAAATTCAACAATTACTCGTGTGTACTCTGTCAATAGATTGAACAACGAAAAAATTCTTTCACGAATTTGCACGAGGGAAAAACGAAACCGATATCGAACGTACCCGCGACCGATATCATAGACCGAATATAAGTAGCTTAATGAAATACGTATATTTTAACGTCTGTCCCAAGACATTGAGAGAAACACGCCAGAAGTGTTATTTCACGAGATGGATATACAACGTTATAACGATCGCGGAACAGTCCGATTTCTTAGTGCGAAATTTCCTAACTATATTTTTTCTATTCACTGCCACAAAGTAAGGATACTTAACGCTGATCAGCAGCTGGTTTTTAGCGACCTCTAAGACGATACCAACCCCAATCGCAAACGGCGCTGACGTATTTATGTGTTTCTTTATCGGCTGCCGAATGTTGTTTCTGTATGGTCAGCGGACCTCCAAATAAGTTACAAATATTCTCCTACATCCAGCGTATTCGTTTCAAAGAGAAAGCGGCCGAAAGTAAAGAATTAGCACTGCCACTGCCTATTCAAGTCCCGGTTACAAACGTTTCAATGAGTTTTTTTGCCACTTCACTTAATAAGTAGTTTTGTTTCGAAACGGAATTGATTTCAGCTGAAATATAGTAAGTCAATTGGGATCGCCCAGAAGACCGGAAAGAACAGGTTGTAGGTTATTAAGGACTGGCGGAATAGTGTTTTTGGCCGTTTTGCATTCTAATATGCGGATGGTATTTGCATCACGGAATTCGCCTATAAGGGGTGTGTTTAGTGGTGTTCGGTCAAAAAACGGATGAACGATGATGATATCCACGCAGTCAAGCATTACGAAAGCTTTCATTTATGTAGGATAATTTGCAAACATGCAGTTCCTTTCCAAACTGGATACGATGGAACTGATGCTTGCTCCGGCTTGCCTCTGTGTGCTGTTGCTAACCTTCCTTGAAGGCTGCTGCCAAACTCTGTAGGTGCTTCCTACCTGACTAGCTTTCACATCACCAGTTGATCCGATGCAGTGGACATGTGTCTAAGCACGCGGGGGCATTATAGTCTGGATGGAACTTACAGTAACCATTTTTTGGATTTAATTTTGTCTACACTGGATCTACACGGCCAAGAGGACGATATCATAAGGTGGCAATCTCTATATACCGCTGCTGTTTGATATTTGGATTTCAAGGTCTGGTGGTCAAAGAGCCTGCAAAATGTGAGCTCTATGTGAGAAGTTAACACGGATCTTCGAGCGTCGACCTTCAGAAATACCCGGTTCGGACGCCCCGTTTGGATGTCATCTACCGCACTCCGCCTTTGACTTGAATCCACGGAGATTCCCACTCGGACAAAAAATACCTGAGATCTTAAATGAGCTTTGTTCTACCTGTGCGGATTTTCCTGACTAGCCCAAAAAATCCCGCTGCCTGAAGAATTGCAAATCCAAGCCCGATGGCCTCAGAAATGACACCTGTTACGGGGCCCTCCGAAAACCGAACTATTTTGGGTCAATGATTGTATGACACTGTCATACCCAGTTTAATAGCACATCTGCAACTATTCCCTTCACGCTCTTTACTGTTTGTTTCTGTCCAATCGTTTCAGTAACCGAAAATACGAACAAGCACTTCGCCTGGCTCCAACTTACTCCAGGACACATTCATTCAAATCTGCTGAAACTTGTTTTCAAGTTAACCATTTCGGTGGGCGTTCAGCTTATGATCTCCACGAAGTCAATAATTTTCTATGCAGTTCGCGTTCCGGTTTGTGTGTCGTCACCAACTCGCTCTTCCAAGGAAATTTTACACCGATTCCACTATGACAGTGACACCGGCACTGCAACCATGGGATCCAACATCTGAAGGGTAAAATTTACAGCCCTGTAGGAAAAAAGGAATAAACAAAAACATGCGCGTCCCAAGAATAAACATTCTCAAACTGACATGTTAATAACATACGTAGTCATGGTGCCGCCTGTTACGTCCTTGTGCTCCAGGTGACTGAGAAATCCATCATTCTTATCATTTGCCTACTTAACCCTTCCACAAAAGAGCTTGAGATCCAAAAACTACCCTTTTTGCGGCCGTTTCACAGACAGCTTTGATCAATCCCATGCAATTCTGCAGCATCTATCGACATTCCGTCATCTGCATCACTCAACAGTAGTCCCTACGCTATTTTACCCATGGAACCCACAACCTGAGCGGATCCAAGGGCCCGGACACAGATCAAATGGGAACTGACCCCTTCGGGTCACTCTGACCCAGTGAACAACTGGCGCCGAGACCAGGGCCTGGATTACCTTTTCCTTACCCCAGTCACGTTCGTCACTCTGAGGGCATATTCTGGCGGATATTCTAGGAGGGCTAACGGTAACTGTGCTTGACCGCGGAAACGGCACCTTCGTAGCATGAGGGAGTTTACGTTTTTAAATGAGGAGAACTGGGCTACACAAAAACCCACAGAAACCTTCTTTTCCCTAATCAAGGTGCAAAACGGCGTATGCAAGCCATGCTATTTTCGTGACTGCATGGGATTCTCATTATTGTGATATTTTTTATGTTTACGGTCACCGAAATGTACCGGCAGAGACGGTTACTGTCAAGAGCCAGAAATCGACCCTTCGCTTTTTATACGGGATTGGTTCTAAATGCGGGGACTCTAGGGGGAGTATGGTAAATTCGAGGGATGTGGGATGAAGGAATGACTTATCGTCGTTTTATATTTAAAGCTTCACGTGTTGTGGTATGGCTACCCAGTAAGTTATTTTACCGGAGGTGTTGCAAAGAAATAAAAATAATAACGCTAGATGGGGTATACAATGGTGAATAGGTCAAATGGAACAGACTCACTAATAATTGTTCTCTTTAAAACAGTTCATCGTTGGCCCAGTTCAGCGAATAAACAATAATCCGATCACAGTTGTCCAGGGGTTTTCTTCTGAACAGTTCCCACATATGATAGATTCCGAAGATGGTCTGAAATGTTTTGATACCAGAGTTAGCACATGAGACACGCGAATGACCGCTGCAAGCGCGAGCAAAATCAGTGATTCGAAGCACGTGACCACGTTTGTGTTTTGTGAACTTGTACAAGTATGCGTTTTTTGTAGTTTTCGTATTCAATAAAAAACGATTATGCAGTTGACGAAATACGTAGTGTTATAATGAAAGCAAAATAAAGGTACAAAGCACCACACACATCATGGGAAGGGGTTTGTTGTAACCACATTGATTTAGTGCCTTCAAACTCAACAATGTTTTTTTTATTTACCGAGCACTCGAGAGATTTTGTAATTCCAGCGAACAAACAGGTAGTCCGTGTCGAATACCCGGTGGCAGTAGTAACCACGAAATAAATGGAGGACTTTTAGGAAAATGTGAGAATTAAGTTTCGGACTTATATCGGAATAACCAGACGGACTAGAAATCTAGAATTCAGCGAAGCGTGACAACCAACACGTATGTATTCGAATTGGCGAATATGTACAGCATATGGAATATTAAAACAAGAGAAGAATGGATTAAAGCAAGAATAGAGTATCAGTCATTTTCATCAAAGATATCTATCGCTGAAATGATGCAACCTCCACTCTAATTTGCAAACGTGTACAGTGCTTGTAAGTTTGTGTTTAACTACCACCAGGTTCCAAATTGGCTCCTATCGAATACCAGTTCTTTGTTGTACCTCATTTGCGTGCCTTTTTCTTTATCCCTGTACTTGTGCTGAGTGATGTCAGCCTTCGGATGTCTCCTGGGTCGTCGCCAAACATCTCATTACTAAGTGATTCCTTTCACCATGGCTTCGGAGGATGGCATTCGGTTTTTTTGTTCTAGTTGTGGCCCTCACTTCTTGGACATGGTAATTTTTTCTGGATCATCGGGTCGTAGCTGCAGTTCGTTCAAATTTCTACGAGAGTGATCGTTGTGTCGCCTCTCAAAGTTCAGTAAACAAGGGCGCAAGCAATTGCACGTCCTCCAGCAACAAGCGCACCATTGGTGTTTTCATTCCTGCTGGTGTGCTGGAAGTGACGAAACTTCTTTG